GCGCATCAGGGCATGAAAGCTGAATTCGAAACCTTGAAGGAGGAACATCTTTCCGTGATTCCCGAGTTAATAGTTTAACCGCCAAAATTCTCACGAGGCCGTAGGTGGTACCCAAGAGCCCGAGAACGCTGAATTTGAATGGGCAAGGTTGAGCGGGAGCAGGGGGTCATTACCTAAAATTTCAAACTCCTAGACTCCGTAGTTCCCGAGATATTAACTTACTCGTAAAAAATTTACACGGGATCGTACGCGTTACCCGAGGGTACGGGGAAGCTGAATTTAAATTTGCGGGGTCACAGGTGGGTGGGGAACGTTCCCCTGAACTTTCAGCTTCCTAGCTATTGTGGTTCCCGAGTTGAAAGTTGCGGACAAGTTGCTGCGGACAAACACACACATACACACACACAGACAACCCCGTGACAATATGCGTTTTGTACTGCTGTAACACAGCACAAAACGCATAAAAAGAGCCTAAACAAAAGCAGTGTATTTCGGTATGCAACAAGTTCACGCAGCTAAAGAGAAATTCAGCAGCGAATCTCACCGGAACGTGACCGTCGTAAACTACAGCCACAGTGACTGCCATGAAGCGCGTTTCACGCCCTACTAGGAGACAATAAGGAGCTGCAATGTACAGTGGGGCCACCGCCTTCAGGATCGCCAACACTGTTTTTTTTTGTGTTTGCTCACATGCACACACATACATTCACGTATATATACACACACAAACTTACTGCATTCAAAATTTGAATGAACACCGTTGGTGATAAGCAAGAGCCAGCGACTAGCTGTATGCGCCCACTATAAATGTAAACAAAATGACTAGCAATGACCATATCTCCTAACATGTTGCACATACTAAGAAGGCTAAGAAAAGACTGAGAAGGCTAAGAAAAGTCAGGAATCCTGCTGTAGCCTACTCGCAGATCCCTCGAACAAGTGGAAACCCGTGCGTTTGGTGTCAGACTCAAAAAGCATCAAGTTGCTGCGGGAGAAAACTGAGCTTAGGTATGTGTGTGTGTGTGTGTGTGTGTGTGTGTGTGTGTGCTTTAAAGGTAAAAATATAGTAGTCAGCCGTTCTGGACTTCTCAACACTGCATAGAAACAGTGGAGAGTTAACAGGACAACCAACCAGTCGAAAAATCTGCTTGACTGCCTAGATAGAAATGTCTAGTAGGTTCGCCCGGATGCACTGGAAAGGCTAGCAGCTGTCGCACTGACCTTGTGAAAGAGCAAAAAACAACGGAACTACCGGCGCTCAAAATGGCTGAGCAAACACCAATCGCAAATAAGGATATGCTTACCATCAAAATTCTCTCTATAGCTGCATAAGGCCAAAATTATAGCAGAAATAGATAAAATTATAGAATACAAAGATGCTACAAGAATAAAAGGCATCAGAACGACGGTCCACTGGATTAAAACTTTTGAAAAACTCATCGGTACTGAAAGTAAATTTTCGTCAATTCAAAATAATAAGAACAATTACAATTCACTGAAAACGAACCTCGACAGATTGCTGGAAATCTTTGTGAATATTCTGAGCAGCCAACGCTTCCTCGAGAGTTGTCGGGATGGTATTCATACGAAGCAGCTCGGCTTCTTCCTTTTGAATTTTTTGTATTGCAACCAAAGCCTTTCCGCGTGCACGATTAAACTGTATGCACTGCTCGATGCAGTGATGCGTCTCCTGGGCCACCTGAAGAATGCTCCAAAAATTAACAATAGCAGAAAGCGACGAAAAAACATATAACTTTTTTATGAATTATAATTCCTTTTTTTTTCAGTAAAACAACACAAAATAATGCCTCTTCTCACTTGCTTTTCAGTATTCAAATTAGAGCGTAAATGTTTTCGGCCTTACGTTGTTTTTACCACAATTTCACAATCCCACTGGTTTTGAGGCTTTCCTAACTAAAAGTTTTTCTGGCCCAATTCATCGAATTCTCCATTCGGCTATCAGAATTTTCATGCAAAAAGGCGAAAAAAAGTGCCTCGCTCTCTTAACACTCCCGGCAGGGCATGACCGAAAACTGATTAAGCTGGAAATATAAATGCAGTGCCAGTGCTCATAGCGCGAGAGAACGAAAAATTGGAAAAGTTTGACGGACCTGCATCACCTCGTGCTGGAAGTCGGTGAGTTGCTGCAAATTTGCAACAATTACATCAGCAGCTGGCGTACCTTCAACATTAACTAAAGTTGTTTCGTTCTCTCGAAATGCCTAAATTTGA